TATTGTCTAGATATCAAAGTCTTTTTATATGAGATAGCACTTGTGCTTGACTAGTTGTCTTGTGTGTGTGTGTATTAGTGGGGGTGGGGGTTTGCTGGCTGCATTCAGTTGCTAGGAAAATCTTTTAAACATGTGATTTCCTTCTTGTCTTTGATCTTTGGTAATGAATCATCTACATGGATCATTGCCATCCGTATTGTTCAAACTTTTAACTGGACAAACCTTTTTATGACCATGGCTGCTAATTCATTACAGGAAAAAGAATATATTTAAGTTGGCGCAGGGTGAATACATAGCACCTGAGAAGGTTGAGAATGTATATGCAAAATGCAAATTTGTTTTGCAGTGTTTTATATACGGTAAGGAAATAGTTTATAAATGTAACAACTCAGGTCCAAGCATCATTTGCTTAGCAACTTTTCGGGCTTAAATCATGTAGGTCTCAAAAGCTTAAGTTCAAGTTGCTAGTAGTGATTGACTGGATCCTTATATGGGCCTTTAACAAATCACACTCACATCAGATGGGGGATGGGATATCATAATAAATGTTTTGACTAAACTTCACCAACCTGTTTTTTTTGTCCTGACTGCTTAATATGTTTGTAGGTGATAGTTTGAATTCATCTTTAGTAGCGGTAGTTGCAGTGGAACCTGATGTGCTGAGAAATTGGGCTGCATCTGCGGGTATCCAGGTGCGTTTTCTTCTCTCCCTTTTCACTTGGTCATCTTTGCATCAGGAAATTGAAAAATTTTGAAAGTGTCACGCCCTGCTGTCGACATAAATCTCTTATATTAATCGAAAGACGAAACAAAATTATAAATATACTAAGATGTGAATAAGACAAACTCATCAAGAGAAAAAAAAGAGTCAACAAAGACAAACTGGGTATATGGTCTATACTAATTTAGTTTAGCATCATCTTTTCTATCAACAATGACCAAGAACGGCTCAGGAATATTGATTAGCATTTCAAACGTTATAGCAATAGTCGGCTAAAAACATTGATCAAGGGGATTTAGCACTCAAATTTGGAAGTCATTGATGTGTTTACATTCACTTCTGTTCCCATTACATTCTCTGTCCGTGTTATGTTTAGGTCAGTAGTTGTCCCAAAAAATTGTTTTTGACTGATTAAAGGTTCACTCAAATGCATTTGTGCAGTATGAGGATTTAGCACAACTGTGCAATGATCCGAGAACAAGGAATGCTGTTCTTGCTGAGATGGATGATGTCGGAAGGGAAGCACAGGTAAACTATTTTAACCAATGATTATATTTAGACATTCCGTCTTTCAGTGAGTCCTGTTAATTTATTTGAATTCCTTGCAGTTAAGAGGCTTTGAATTTGCAAAAGCTGTAACTTTGGTACCGGAACCATTCACTGTCGAGAATGGCCTTCTCACTCCAACATTCAAGGTAACCCGGCCATTCCTTCTTCACTGGCCCGCTTGAGCATCCATATACTGTCTTTCACTTCCAGCTTGTTTGACCTTATTGTTATTTATCCAGATCAAGCGGCCTCAAGCAAAGGCGTACTTCGCAAAAGCGATATCCAACATGTATGCTGAGCTTTCGGCATCTGACCCGACACCATAGAAAATGTCATGAGGCAAGTCCCACTCCTTGCAAAACGGAACAAGTATACAAAAGTAATGATTAAAAAAAGAGGTAATGATGTGGAAGGGAAGTGCCTTCCATTTGATTCAATAAAATTCCTGGGGGATGATTATTGTAGTTTTACTTGCTCAATAGATATAATCATATTTGAAATGAGGCTTTCATTTCTTTGTTGTAATGTATATTAATTACTCAATAATAATTTTATTTTTATATTTTGAAGGTCAAGGGCAGGTCAATTATTACACTGCACAAATTAACAAACATACATTAATCTTAACCCATAAGAATGATGACGAGGAGGGTACTTATTAACTTTTAGATAATTGAATTTGATTAAAAATTAAAATTTAATCGTCTTCCCCGTGTTGCCATGTAATTGGATTTTTCATATTGTAAAAATTTTTGGGATCTTTATGGTTTTTTGATCAGATTGTAATGTGGTCTCTTTATCTTTTTTATTTTTTTTTAGATTTTTTCTAGTGTTTTTAATGTTTTGGTCTGATATTGTAATGAAAGGATCTATTTAGAATCTTGTATTTCTTACGAGGGTCTTAAAGATCTGATTTTATTTTGTTTTGAGACCATTTATCATTTTTAATCTAAATAATATATTTAATAGGTGAGGTAAGAAACATATTTATATATCTAAAATTTATTTTTTAAAATTAAAATAACCTAATATCTAAACAATCTAATTGGTTCCTATTCTTAACAAAATTTCCCAAATCAACCCTAAACCAAAAAATTTTTCCCTCACTTTCTCTCTTGCCTTAATGTAGATTAGGATAAACTTTTTCTCAGCTGCAACCTCTCTTAGGATTCGTTCTCTTATTCTTCCTTGTTGTAGTAACATTTGGCAACGATGTCGGCAGTGGTAAGGTGACATTGCAGTACAAGAACATGAGATGAGAAGGCTGGGTGGCGTTTCTTATCATTATAACTTGGTGTCTAGCCTTTCCACTTTCCTTTGCCAATATTTTCATCTCTAGGCTTGAAGGCTGCTGTTATGGGATGGGTTCATGCAGTTGGGGGATTTTTATTATTAAATAGAAAAGAAGAAAACCATTACAAGGTATTTGAGTATATTTGTGTTTACATGACAGTTTTGCTTTGTTTTGTTGGCAAATGACAAGCTGGAAACCTTTATGACTTACCGCGCAATGAATTCCAACTTTGTTAAGAACCCTAAATGTAGACTAAGAATTGATTAAATTGTTTTGATATTAGGTTATTTTATTTTTTTTTAAATTTTAAAATATGTGACTAAGTAAAAATATGTTAAAAACCAAGTCAGTAATTAAAAATTTCAATCAATAATTAAATTATTTTATTTTTTAATCACATCATTTGTCACGGAATGTGACAAATGACATGGTATTAAATTGTGTTAAATTCACAATGATTATTTTGAATTTTTTTAGTATAATTTAGGGACTTGAGTATCATGACTAAATTTTATTAAGTAAATTTTTTAAGTATAATTATATAGTAATGAAAAACTGGGTGGGAAAAAAGGAAATAAAACTGAAAAATCTTTATATAATAATTAAAAATTACATAAAGTCAAGTTGTTTATCAGATCACAACTTTTGCAGAAATTTAACAAAACATGAAATAATTAGTTAAATAAAAACCCAACATTGCTCCTAATCCGGGTTGGATTTTTACTTCCTTCTAAGAAAACGCACTATCCTCTTTCTTTCCTTTTTGTTTAGCATTTTCTTCTTCCTCCTGGACCTTCTCTTCCTTGGCAGTTTCAAGGGCTTGTATCAAGCTCTCCAAGCAATCCCTTGGATCTTTTCCCACTCGGCCGTGAATTAAATGCTCAGAAATACAGCAGGAGTCATATTTACTTCCTCTAACAGCTTTTCAATCTCTTCAAATAGAGGATGTGTATCAACGTTCAAATAATTCTTTGCCAACACCTTAAACCCCCCGAAGGTGCAGTAGGATAATTCAATATGCATATCCATTCTTCCCTTTCGGATCAAAGCTGGATCAAGTTTGTCGACATGATTGGTCATCCAGACCAAATTCCATCCATAAAGTTTTAAAAATCCTGGTAATGTAACTTTATTTTTATTTTTCTGCTGTTCATCATCAGAATTAGAATCATTTTCTTTATTTTTATGTCTCGTGAACAATCTATATCCTCAATCACCAAAATACCCTTACGCGGAGTTAGTTAAAAGAGTTCTTTAATTAGTTATTGTTTTAACTGTGATTAACTCAAGATCATATATATCATAACCTAAAAGATTAGATATAGCCAAAATCAAAGTTGATTGACCAGTTCCTGGAGGATCGTACAAGAGATAACCACGTTTTCAAGCTTTGTCAATCTTTAAATAATATTTAACAGGATCATTGATTATCTCTTCCTTTTTCTCAAGATTCATAGAAAAACAATCAAAACTCACAAAATGGTCCAACCATGTGTAATTCCATAAACCATCCTCACAATTCATATAAAGTTTTTGTTGCTTCCTCTTTTTCTTTATGGTTTTGCCCTCTTACAAGACATAATTCAAATACCACTCCATAACTATGTCTCGATATTTGAAGTGAAAGATAAGAACATAATAATTCTTATCATTAGAAGCTTGATTATATATTATCTTCTTGTCAGGAAAATGTTTTCCTTTGATTATATATTTGGGGTGAAAGATAAGAACATCCTCACAGTCATCGGAAGAAAATAAAAGAGATGCTTTTTTCGATAAGATTCTGCTTTTAATCTAGTAACTCATGCAGCAGATTTGGAGCTGAGGTAGTACTGTATAGCAATATATGCAGTAAAAGGCTAGAAGTGAGCTCGTCAAATGTGATGCGAATGCTAGGAAAGAAATAATTCTTCACTCTCTCGTGCCAAAGCTCAATGCATTCTATCAAAGAATCAGTAACTAATTCCGAAATCGTTCCACGAAAAAGGATTAAGCTGGTGAGAACAACAGATAGTATTCCTCGACCCATTATCATCTTGCCTACTGCCACTAAGAAAGGAGCAGCGAACTTTTCAAAAGAGAAACTAAAGACGATAGTAGACAAGTGACACAACCTTTGAGAGTATTGAGAGGTTTCTTACACAAGTTTCACTTCACTTCGGGTTTCCTAGTTCTTCTTGAACTTTGTCTCAATTTTCTAGTTAGATTTGCTTTTATGAAGTGAATTAATTTTCCTCAATTCAAGTTTGACCCATTTAAAATATCCTAATTTTGGTTAAATTTTCGTTTATAAAGTGAATTAATTCTGCATGATTAAATCTAATAATTTCTTGATTGGGCTTTAATTGTTTCAGTATCGACAAGAACAACTAATTTGGAGCCGAATAAATAATTTTAATGTTTAATCAAAATTTAAGTACTCTTAAGCCCAATCAAGACTGGAGAATTTTGATTACTTATATTTCCTGAAATGCTATAATCTGTACAAAGCAATATCCCACACAATCCATAGTTTCTGAGATAAATTTACAAGGTAATATTAGCATAGGTAACAAACAGACAGAATTTCAGAATTGTAAAATTATTAGATTGAGAAATGGAAGTTCCGCCACTGGATTCACTGTTCGGCAACAGGTCGGGTGTTGTCCCAGAGCCATTGACGAGCTGAACCTTCCAGCAATGGTGAAACCTGCAAGAACTTAAGTTAGTTGTCATGACTTGAAACTTGAAAAGAGAATAACCTGACAGTTAATCGGATCTCTTCCAAACTGAAATCACAACGTCTCTTTGGTATCTGGAAGTGTACCAACCTTCTCCCAAACTTGTGAATGGTAATTGTTGAGCCATCCGATCTCCTCGACGGAGAGCAAAGATAAGTCAACCAATTTAGTCTGCACTTCCAGATACAAACATGATTAAAAAGGGATCTCTAGCTGAATGTAATTTGATCAAATTTAATCACAATAAAAGAGAAGAAACTCAAAGTTAAAGATTATAAGCAACAAATCTAGTTTATCCAACCAAATCTGTGCTGCAAATGATTTGTACATTCAATGGTAAAGCTCCCTAAACCAATCGGTGCCAGCCTCATATAAAGACTATATAGACACTTTGACACATTGTTCATTGATTCATCATCCAAGTTAAAGATTGCAAAAATGCACATTTCCAGAATAAAGTACATGCCGTTACTTTTGTAAGATATTCTTTCTAATCCTGAATATATTCATGTTCATTAGCAGGATGTCACTCCTAGAAGCCCAGACGCCTTATACTTTCTTAAGAGTGAAACATTTCAACTTAATATATTAACAAATTTGAGTTTTAGACCCTAACTAAGTTTCTTAGAGCTGATCAGATTTAGATTGGAAGTAGTAATTTATGCCCAGACCAGCTTAATGTGGTGGAGTCAGCAGACAGTAGAAGTTGTCAGACAAGCAGTATTTTAAGAGATTCACAGGGCATTAGTAATAGTACAAGGAAATCAGTAGCATACCTGAATGGGGCAAAATGTTAGTTTTTCAAATCCAAGATATTCAACTCCTCCATAACGATTAGGTGTATTAATCTCTTGCACACAAAGTAGATTCTGCAAGATGAAAAGAGTCTAAGTTAGTAATGAGCCTATTCAACCATTCATTGGGCTAATTAAAAGTCATTCAACAAACTTCTCCAACAGTAGCTAGAGGGTTCCTCATAATATAAACTACCAAAAAATGCTCAACTCTAATATAACTTTTAACCTTTAATCACCATGTTGTTCAAATTGTTTGTAGTGTTTGGCTGTAGACCAAATAACATTTACTTTTAAACCACTGATTAGGAATGCTTAGGTGAAATCAATAAAATGAACTCATCAAGGAAAATAATTAGCCAGAATTCTTGTAGCTGAATGGCTTTATACCTCAATCCGAATGCCAAAGGCATGGTCTTCATAGTAGCCAGGTTCATTGCTAACAATCATGCCTTTTTGTAGGGGAGTCATATTTCCATATCTATAGCTGATACTTTGTGGGCCTTCATGGACATTCAATGCAGCTCCAACACCATGCCCGGTACCTGCATAAAAGGAGCTTGGCAATCAAGTCATGGTTCAATAATAGACGAAGCATTTCCATACCATGGGAAGTCAACAGAAAGATGGGAGAAATACCATGGCGGTAATCAAGTCCGATCTTCCAAAGGGCAGAGCGGGCAAATGCATCCAACACAAAACCTGGAGTGTTTTCGGGGAATACTGCCTGATCAAGAGTGATGTGGCCCTGAAATTTGATGGTGTATCAGGAAACAGCCAAATACCAACTCCTAAATGATAACTAGGTAATCTTTAGAACTAGAAGTAGAACAGTGATGAAAATCATATTGTACAAGGTCACTCATAGGACTCTAAAAAGGATATAGTATCATGCCCCACTCATTTCTAACTGGTTTTACATTCCATATGCACAGAGATCAAAGAAAATGGAGGACAAGGCAAAAGGAATTATAAGGAATACACGCTGCTGTGGTCTCACAACCTATGAGCAAATTTACCAATATTCTCAAATGTTTCAATACATTATTAGAAAATTATGGCATATGGGTCCTACTATATCTTCATGTAACACATATACAGGGCTCCTATGCCACCAATAAGGCAGATCAAAACAGAACCAGCACCTTCAGAACTCGGGTGAAGCATTCTTTTTCCCTGGCAGTTGGTTCACCAAAATGTACTGTCCTTGTTATGTCAGTTGTTCCATCAACATATTGAGCTCCACTATCCAATAGGAACATTTTATTTGGATCTACAACACTACAACTTTCTGGTTCAGGTTTGTAGTGTATGATAGCACCATTTGCACCTGAACCTGCAATATCATTCTAATGTTAACAATGAATAATAAATTGATAACCAGAGATATGATTTTTGGTTGCAAAGATTATTAATTTACGTATTTTCCCTTCCAAAATAAAAGCAAATCACAACAATTTTACTTTTACCAGCATTCAAGACATTAAAATGGTCGAACTTAGATTGGAATGTCTAAAACTGGAAAAGAGGTAGTCAAGAATTCACAACTAATATACCGCTTATTGTATCAAAGCTTGTATCTAGGAAACCATCTTGCTTTGAACGGAATTCAAGAAGTTTTTCTGCAACATCTACCTCAGTGAGTTTCACATTCTTATGAATTTCCTCTTCCAGCCAGGACCAAAACTGTGCCAGAGCAGCCGCATCCCTGCATGAATTTATCGCCGTAAAAGTTATTTTAAAATTCATTGTCTGTATCTTTTTTCTAGCAGACAACAGCCTTTAGCTTTGCTGAAATAGCAAGTTTCACCAAGAAGGGCAATGACATGCATGTCCATCGACAATGGTTGATGTCCTCTGTGCTTACAAAAGGGAAACAGAAGAGGAGAGGGAGAAAGAGACAAACAAGAATGGGAAGCCATAGATGTTTCCTAAAAGGAATAACCTCCAAATACCAAAGTTTCAAAAAAGGATGGCAGGCTGCATCCAAATAAATTAGCCCCACAAACTGAGGTATAACATGTTGAAATCAATTACCTCAAGTGAGAATTCTGCATCCCTTCTAATTCAGCAGGATTTTTCAGTGCCTTTGCCAGAGAGATTGGGGATGGCATATATACTCCGGAAGGACCTATAGAGAGGCCATTGGATTCACAATATCGGTTATTCTTTATTTTGCCTCTACTCCCATGGTTCATAAGATATTTATCACAAGCAGACTTATACGTCTCCACAATAGCAGCATTTACAGATGATGTGTCTAACCACAGGTTAGCCCCTTGTGCTGCCAATCTGAAAATGCAACCTATAGTTATTTCTAATAAGTTTGCCTTAGCACGTCTACAAAGCCAGATAAGAGTAGATCTAATTGAAAATTTTTGCAATCTCAGATAAAGATACACATCTTTGCTGGCTGCATTTTATGTTGCACATTTTTCAAACAAGATAGTCTATGATATCTAAATGAAAATATATGAAATCTTGTGAAACTCTGGTCCAACAAAGATGTGCTAGTTTTCATCCAGAACTAACGTGAAAATAGTCACTTCACCATAGCAAGCAAAAAATGCCCAATTCTAAGTAAAATGTTTCCTAACGATGCTCGTGCCCCATCTTGGGCCCCCCCCGAGCCGCTCTGTAGTCGAGCCGGGGCTCGTGTGGTGCCGACGTCGCGAAGGAATGTGCACCCGAGCATTTGGCTCATGGGTTGGTGCATTATCCCCCTGCCTAAAGAGTGGGATTCGAATCCCCCCTCCCCCAATTATATAAAAAAAAAATGTTTCCTATGCGTAAATAATGGCATCTCAAACATACCTCTTTATTTCAGAAACGATGGAGTCATATGGCCTTAATTCTACACCTGCATTCTTCAAGTGATCCATCACCTCAGAGGTGACTTTAGAATTATCTACAAATAACTTTGCCGCATCAACCTCCACAATTAAGTATGCATACATAACAGGTGAATGTGGGACATCACTTCCTCTCTGCAAAACAAGATGTAAGGTTTTAGTTGGATGGAGGATTTAAAGACAAAAGTAGGAATCATTGAATACACACACACACACATTGAGAGTTATATAAATATAAAATATTGCTCTTAGTAAGTTCAGTAATCAGTTTTCTTCTAAAATAATCAGCATTGTAGCAAATTTTGACAAAACAAAGTCTATAAACATTATGGATTCTACGAAAATAACAAGTAACTAAGTAAGTGTGAGTATTAATACCAAGTTCAGCAACCAGGCAGCTTCATCAAGCATGGAGACAACAATTGCAGATGAACCAGTGCCAACTAGTTCAGCCCTCAGGGAAGATAATTTGGACACCACATCTAGACCAGCATATTTCAGATCATGCACTCTAATTGGCTTGTTTGGAGGTTTTGGCCTTGATTCCTTCCATATTTCATCCACAAGATTTAAATCATACAAGTAAACCAACTCAAGATTCTTCTTAGATACAGCCTCCTTCAATTCTTCTGCAGCATCATAAGAAAAAAGAAACTGCTCCCTTCAAGTTATCAGACATCATCAGAAACAGACAAGAATGAATAAGGGGTATACTGATTGCAAATGGTAACTTAGATGCACCCATTTAGGAGGTTGGAAGATTGCTCACAGGATCAATGCCGACTCTGCCACCAGGGGCCAAAGTATCATTAAGCCATTGACTAGTTGTTGGGACTCCAACATTACCAGCACGCATGAGAGTCCAGCTTGAGCTCAACTGCTTCTCAGCCTAAACAGTCATAAAAAAAGGAAGAACTACTCTCAACACTCCTATATCCCATATTGGACCATACTGGATAGAACTCCAATAAGGGCTTTATAAAGCTTGCCCAACAGAAAAAAAACCTGCAGAAAATATCGACCATCGGTCCATAGAGCAGCTTTATCCTTTGTGACAACTGCAGTCCCTGCACTGCCAGTAAAGCCTGATATATAGGCTCTCCTCATGTAGCATTCAGCAATGAACTCACTCTGGAAAACCATGCCAAAAGGTAATTAAACTAATTGCAGTTGATGTTAGAACTAGGAAGTTCTAATCACACAAATTTAGTCCCACTTAAATATAAGCCTTATAATCCTTAACGCTGACTTTCTTAGAAATGTCAATAAGTAGTAAAACTAAATAATCCTACATCATAATTCATAAAGTTTATTAACAATCAAAGTATGTCCGCCTCAAACTTTACAGCTTACTACATATCCATTTCTAAAATTATGGTATAAACAGCAACAATAAGTTTATTCACCAACAACAAAATTCTTTTCTTTTTTTTTTTTTTAAAAAGCAATTGGTAAACCACCAACAACTAAGCTAAAAAAACCAAAAAGGCCTAAAAAATATGTGAGGCCAATACTAGAATTGCTCAAAAATCCAGAACAAACTTGAAAAAGAAATGACCAAAACCCAGTTGAATTCCAAGATTAATGGATAAACACATACAAAAAATCACATCAAAGTGATTTTTTTTTTCCTGGTACAAACATGCAATGATACATAGGCTAATCTTCTCTTCTCTCATTTAACATCTGTACAATGAAGAGACAGTATTCATAGGCACCTTGAGACAATAATAGCAAAGTTAATCTCATCTCATTTACATCAGTTTATCATTGAAATCTTGGTATAACATTAACTTCATTTCAATTTTACCCCAATTCAGTAGGCCAACGCTTGAACCACTCGAAACAACCAAAACCCAATTCTATAATCAACCAACAGAGACATGCCAAAAAAAAATCCAAATTTTATGTCTTTTTTAGCATTAAAATGGATGTATAAAAGGAAGATAACTGAACCTGATGAGCATCCTGAGAAGGGATGATATAGGCATCAATGCCAATTCCAGGCTTGGAAAACAGCTGGCGAATAGCAAGAACCTTTTCATCCGGCTCTTGAACAGCACGGTTCCTACTAAGCTCCGAAGAAGGCTTGGCAGTTATAGGGCCAGAACTGCAACACCGTAGGGTCAAAAAGGGAGGACCCTTTTGTGATTTCTTATAAATTGTGGGGTTGATTTTGAATTTATGGAAAATGGGGAGTGAGAAGGAGAAGAAAGGAAACGCAGACGCGGAAAGAGATGAGCTGAGGGATAGAGGACGCACTGCTTGTGATGGTAGGGAGTGCATATCTGATACTAGCAAATTCCAAAAGAAACAAGAATGAAAAAAAAATCCTTTTTCCAAACAGAGAAGATAAGGTGTCAAGCTTCCTGAAAGGTGAGAAACCATAAACAAGGGCAGTTGGTTGAAAACTGTGGCGTGTAAGGAAGAGGGACAGCAACTAACAAGGCCTGTTTTGTCGTTTTTTACTGTTTGGAATCTCAATTCTTTGCTTATTTAACAGTCTCTGTTTCGTAAGGGAAAGTAGATGCAGGATAACACCAGGGGACAAAACGTTGTCGTGTAAGGAAGGAAGAGAGCAACAAAAAGAGGCCTGCTTTTTTAAGTGGACATTGGATATTCTCCAGCTTGATCTCAAATCTCAAAGTCTAGTCTTCTTTCTTACTGGTAGAAGGTGTATACATTTCAAACTAAGCTCTTAAACTTTCTTCTTTGTGTTGTGTTTCAAAGATTAGATCTTGAAGTTTACAGTTGATGCTTGTCAAATGGCGATCATAACAGAAGAGCAAGAGCCAGAATCACCCAAAACCAGAGAAAACAAGAAACCACCGAAGAAACCAACTTCAAATCCAAACTCAAAACCTATAAAACCAGCTTCAAATCCTAACCCAAATTCACACACTCAAAGCTCTTTTGCCTTCTGGTTCTATTTCACTCTCACTATTTCTCTCATCACTTTCCTCTTCGTCTCTTTTTCCTCTTTGTCCCCACCAGACCCCAAATCCTGGTTCCTTTCTTTGCCTAGTTCCCTGCGCCAACACTTCTCAAATGGTAGAATCATTAAGGTTCAAACGACCCCAAACCAATCACCAATTGAAGTTTTTGTTACTGAAAATGGTCAGTTTTCTTCATCTGAGAATGTTGTGGTTGTTCATGGCTTGGGGTTGAGTTCTTTTTCTTATAGTGAAGTCATAAGACTTTTAGGCTCAAAAGGGGTTCATGTTATAGCCCTTGATTTGCCTGGAAATGGGTTTTCAGATAAATCAAGAGTAGAGATTGAAGAAGGAACAAATGGGGTTTTAGGGAGGTTTAAGGAAGTTTATAGTTTGATTCAAGAAAAGGGTATATTTTGGGCTTTTGATCAAATGGTTGAAACTGGTGAACTCCCTTATGAAGAGATAAAGTCTAGAGTTTTGGTTAAAAAGAGTGTCAAGGTTATTGAGTTGGGAAGTGAAGAGATGGGAAGGGTTTTGGGGCAGGTTATAGAAACAATGGGATTGGCTCCTGTGCACTTAGTTTTACATGATTCTGCTTTCGTCATGGCTGCAGGTTGGATTTCTGAGAATCCTAGGTTTATCATAAGTGTAACCCTTATTGATACGGGACTAAAACCTGCTTTACCTTTGTGGGGTTTGAACATACCTGTGGTTGGTGAAGTTGTGTTGAGGTTTTCATTTGTGTTTGCAAGGTTGATAAACTTGTGTTGCTCAAAGGGGATTGGTTGGTCTGAGTTGGAGGCACATAGAGTGCTTTTGAAGGGATGGGATGCACGAAGAGCAGTTGTGGGGATAGGGAAGAAGTTGAATTATAGTTTTGATGTAGAAGAATGGGGTGGTTTGGATGGTATAAAAGGAATGCCAATGCAGGTCCTTTGGTCTAATGGTTGGTCAGACGAATGGAGGAAAGAGGGTCGACGGATCGCAGAGGCACTTCCTGAGGCAAAATTTGTTGCACATTCTGGAGGGCGATGGCCTCAGGTAAGGATTCTTTGACTCTTTCAACATATTCTTTCTGTTGTTCTTGTTTTATATCATTACATGTCATAGTAGAATTATCAAAATTTTGCTGCTTTTGGATGTTTATAGGCATGCTTTTCAATGAGTTTGTGATTGATTCTGACTTGTTTGTATGAACAAGAAAAGGGCAGATTTTTGTCTCGGCTTTGACCTATGATTTTAGCTCTCATATGAAAACATATATATGCAGCCATGTTCTATTGTTGGTTAATCCATGCATGATTGATTGTATGTCTTTATTAGATTGTTTGGTTGGGGTCTTGGAGAGTGCAACCGACACCAGGCTAGGCCCTGGAATATGGTGAATGAATTATTTAAATAAATTATTGGGAATTCTGTTGCTAATCTCATCTTCCCAAATTAATAAGGTTGTGATTGACTAGATTGAAAAATAACCTTGCATATTGAGACCACTTCCTCTGCTTTGAGAATTGTTTATATTTGCATGCATTTTGTTCTTGGTTCTTTACATACCTTTTGAATTATGTTCTCTCAGTTCAAATTGATGAAATAATCCCCTATGTTGCATGTCACTTGCCAACTGCAGTCTTCTAAATTTATAGGACCATGGATGCACCCTGAAGAATTTAAATCAAAAGCATCATAGATTAGTTTTATGGATGCGCCCTCCATTAAATGTTGTCAATATTGCATGCATTTGTTGCATTCTGAATTCATGCATGCTATGTCTTTGTGATCTCAGGGAGATGCTGCTGGTGAACTGGCTGAGAATGTAGCTCAATTTGTATCTTCATTACCAAAAACAGTTAGACAGGTTGCGGAAGAGCCCATCCCTGAGCATATCCAGAAGATGTTTGATGAAGCAAAAGACACTGACCATCATCATCATCATCACGGTCATGGTCATGGCCATGGCCATGCTGCCCATGGTCATGATCATGCTCATGCAGCTGGTTTTATGGATGCATACGGGCTTGGTCACACATGGGGCACTTGACCTGTTTCTTCCTATTTTACTGGAATGGGTTTAAGTTAAAGGTTTAGATTTAGGTGTGCCTATTAACCATATGCGGTAATTTTATGCTGTTTTCGAGTTTCTTATTGTTGTTCAAGATTCCTCCATTAAATTGTAATCGTAAAAGCATTGTTTTCTGAAAGCTTGTTAGACTTACATATTTTTATGTGACACAAAGCAAAGCAATTTCCAAAGCAAGTGTAGGTCTTGTTATAAGAATATCAAGGACCTGCTTCTCAGGGCGAAATTTGAAGGATCTAAGCCTACTTAGTTAGGCCCAAAAGAGTCTCCCACTTTGTTGGGCTTTTGATCAGCCCAACTAAGTCCAATGGGCTGTCGCTGACAGCAAGTAGTGGGCTTTTTTTTCTGTTCTTTCCAACAACCAACAATAAATTTCTTTTATTTTTTTTGAATGTACAAATGAAATTAAGTATTTGTTCAAAAGTAAGAAAAAAAGAGTATAGAATAAACTTCAACTATATTTTTTATTTTGTCACATAAGTTTTTATATTTTATAATTAATTTTGTAAATAATTTCTGTTTTAACAAGATATTATACCGTTAATTTTATCTATTGAAATTATTAAAATGATTTAAAAATTAATTTATTTGTACACATTTAAAAATATTTAAATATTTAAATAAGAATAAATGTTTAATTTTTTAAAATAAAAGTTATTCACAAAAAAATTAATTAAATACTACAATGTAAAAGGAATTTAGCTAAAATAGAAAAAGCTTTGTTTTTTGTGTTCCTTTCGGAATATCTTCTTCCCACAAGGCTACAACCACCGTTCAAAGCCTTCATCAAACCCACCGTTAGATGGGTTGAGAAAAGACCCAAGAGTTTTCCATCTCTTTTTGTATGCAAAAATGAGCTGCTGCTGCGATCAAAACGACGACGAGTCAGCCCTCACGACCCCTCTCTCTTCCTCCACGAGCCCCACCGTTACGGATTCGACCGCCACCATCTCCCCTATGAACTCCTATTTCTCAGCCCTGACGTGCCGCGACACCCTCCGACTCATCTTCGAGAAGGTCTCGCTCACCGACTTGGCACGTGCCAGCTGCGTTTGCAAGGCCTGGAATGCCGTCGCTTCCGATGACGAGATGGTCGTGGAGGCATTCAAGGCTCCTTGGAAGCTTCTGGAAGTGGTGGGGAAGCCGAGTTCTGGAAGTTTCTGGAGGGATAATGGGATTGGGAAGTTCGCTATCTCGCACCGGATTTTGAGAGGGGAGAGTGTTGCTAGCCTCGCTGTTAAGTACTCTGTTCAGGTAAAAACAAAAGAAAAAGGGTATTTTTGGTTTGATGAGACGGTGAAGCAATTAGTTTGGAAAACTGTAAAATTTATGAATTTTTTTGGTAAATCTTTTGTCTTTTGCATAAAAAGATTGTTTTTCTTCGAAACTGGGATTAAAGAGTAAAACTTGAATCACATTTCACTGTTCTGAGCAGTATACAAGAATGCAGTTACTTGACTCTGGAAGTGGGTGATTTAAGATTTGGGTGGAGAATGGGGAGGCTTAAGCCTTGAGGCAAAAGCAGTAGGAACAGACATGGTTTGATTTGTGTCAGGGTGGTTGAGGCTTCCTATTGTAGGCTTAATTTGATCATTGATTGGCATTTGGAGTGTATAGATGAGACTGCAATTTGGTGAAATGAGAAGTGCAACAAACAAATCTGTGCCTGAAGGATTATCTAATGTTTGAGAAGATTTTTCAGTTCAATTTTCTCTGAAACCTTTACTCTTAGTACTCCCAACATTAACTTGGTGCTTAACTCACTGTTAAGTGAATTTATGTTTTAAATGTACCTTCCTTGTATTTGCAGGTTATGGACATAAAGCGCCTGAATAACATGATGAGTGACCATGGGATTTACTCGCGAGAGAGGTTACTGATCCCTATAAGCAATCCCGACCTTCTTATAAACGGGACTTGCCATGTAGAGTTGGATACCTACGCAAAGAGAGAAGTGGCAGTGCTGTATCTTGATGGCAAGCCTGACAGAAAGCCTGGAACATTGTTGAATAGGGTGACCTCTGATCGGGGCAAGAGAAGGGTAATTGACTCTTTAAAGAGAAGCATGCAGGTTGATGATGGAACTGCTCAATACTATCTGTCTATTTCAAATGGTGATCCCCGAGCTGCAGTCTCTCAATTCTCTTCAGACCTCAGGTGGGAGAGGCAGATAGGCTTGGCCTAGTTGGAAATTTGTTTCAAATTGATGGATGGTAAGGCATCAAGAATCCACCAAATTCCTTTTATTTAGCACATGCTGTACTGTTCACGGGTTTTCCATGTAAAGTTATTACAATGAAGCATAATGTCAAGTGTTAATATCATCCAACTTCTCAGCCTTCAATTGTGTTGGGAACTATGTTCTAAGGGAGTGTGTGTTTAATAAGGAATGATTCTGGCTGTTGTAATTCATTTGATACTAAATGTATTCAAGTGAATGTATACTTACATAATTTAAAGTGATGTATGTCTACTTACATAATTCGAATACAATGTATCCAAATTGCAGCTTTGAGATCACAGATTTTTCAACTCTAAAAGCACCTTAATTGCTAAAGTTTAAGAAGGATGACCAAGGCAGGAATGGGTAAATGCATACTCTTCCAAAGGAATTTCAATTACCTTTTTCTCCTACTTTCGAGCTCGAAATTTGTTATTCAAGATGCTTAGGTGATTCTAATTTGGTTCCCTACCAATTTACTGAAAAAAGCAAGAAATTGAGTTCTTGATGAGTAGAGGAGAAACAGCTTGACCTCTGGCAACCATAAAGTGAACAATAGAAATTATACAATGCTCTACCTCATGCTACAATGCATCAATGAAATAGTTCACAAAAAATCAGCTTCACATAGATGATAAAGCTAAATCATAATTTATATTTCCCGAGTTTGACAATAAAGTTGATATGACAGTCCATAATCCAAATAATAAGAATGGAAGTTTGGATTACTTGCTTTTTCCCTTCTGTTCCCTCAAGCTTTGTATACAAATTAAACACAAAAACGTATGACGTGGGAAAACTATCTTTAACCCTATAGAATGCCTAAATGGATTTAGAAGCTGAAGGATTCAATTCAGGAGAGTAGTTTGACAAGGTTATCAACTCCTTTTCTTGTTGTTCCTTGAGAAAGTTCTGAGCAGTTGCTGTTACTATCTTAATGAAGAAGTTTAGAAGCATGAGCCATACAACAGTGTTCCAGATAGAAGCAAGTGATAAATCCCACCTCTTTACCTGTAGAGAAAGCACGAAAAGGTAAATTTGTTTCTGGCAAAAAAGAGCAAGCAATACTGCCAGGGAGACCCAAGGCATCCTGCATAGGAATACTTCTCACATTCATCTGTGTATATATTACCTTAATATTTGGGGAGACTGGAGGAGAGGGTGACAAATATTTGTCTCTAATAGTCTGTAGCTTCATGATAAGGTTTGGCAGGATGGTGGCCAGCCCTGGGATAAAGCTGAGCACTCTAATCAACTCGTTTTCAATGAAGTCAAGAAGCTGATAGTTGCAAACTGAGATGATAAAAACCGTCTGCAATTACAAACAGGATACAACTACCATATGTCAGAAAAGAAAATCAGAACCAGCATAAACGTTCACATCACTTAGCTGCAGGATTTACCATCCTGCTTAAGCTTACTGTCACCCTTTGATGTTCCTTTTTTCTTTCTACTTAACATTTTTTTTGACATTAACAACAACTTTAAAGCAATAAAGTAGCCAAACACCTCCTAGTATGAAATTAGAGACTGCTTAAACCTGAATGTGAGTTTTGATGATCGCCTTCCCAAGTAATGTTGCTAGAAAGAATTTCCAAAATGGAATACCAAATTGCCCACTGATAATACCGGCAAGGTCAAATAGAGGATTTGGAACCTGCAAATATCCACTCTAATCATCAAATTACAAATTCAAACAGGTTACGACGGAAACTATTAAGAAACCAGAAAGACTACCCTTGGATTCAGTATAGCACAAAGCTTATTACCACTTATCAGTAGTACATTACTATGATTAGCCACAAAAATAACCATGGTGATATTTAATGCATCTCATCAGGTTTAGATCACCTTCTAATTATTTACCTGAATGAGAAGCATTTTTTGGGATAGCATCATTCATTCATGAAGCAGATGTTTTCACTCCAGTTAATCTGGAAAAATTAGCCTTGGCTACTACAATAACTAATCTTCATAACATTGGTCAAAGTTACAATCAAAAATCAAATGTAGCACTAGAATTGTGAAGCAAAGAATCCCAGATTACCGAAGCAAGAACCAAAATTATGAAGAAGTTCAAGTATTGTGAGCGTGAAAGGAGCCAATATTCTATCTGTTTCAGATGATTGGCTGTGTTACCACCATTTTCCATTGAAGAAGAACCGAAATCATTCATAAGATCCAAATTGCTATCTGATATGCAGGCTGCCAAAGCATTTAAGTAGGAAAATCAAGATTATAAACCATAATCCATACAGAAATAAAAAAGTGTATAAATGCAAACACAAAATGATATTAGTTGTGCCCTCACTACCTGCCCTAGATATGAAGTATGGAGGGAGCTCTCCAAGTGCAGTTCCAATACCCCATAAGATGGCCTCTAGTTGAACCTGAGGTAATATGCGACCAAGTGGAACTCTTGAACCTTGTTCTAATGGGAACAGTGGAGGCCCATATTCAGAGCAATTTTTATTCAGCCATGAAGGACCACTGTTCAGTTGAATCGTATCATACAAAGCACTTTTTAAATCAACACGGCCACACTGCACAGCTTTTATCGTAAAAAAAGCAATGTGTGGACCCAAATACAGCACAAATGTGTGCAAACCAGATCCTGTGAGAAACACAATAAATTCAGAGTCCCATTGAAAAAAGTCCAGGTGTATAAATGATTTTATTAAGAATAAGGAGCAACTTATTTAAAGCAAAAAGATAGAACAACAACAGCAAGTACCAAAGGAATAAGGAATATAGCAGATCATTTAGTGAAGTGATGATCCCTGAATTATGGGAATACAGAACAGTTTCTCATTCAAACAATTCAAAAGCCAACGAGCAATCTGTAAAGAACATGCCAATAATTGCAAGAGAGGAAAATTTGCGTGGAATCCTTCATAAGCAAATGGTACTAGCACCTAGAATATCATAGAAGTAGCCGCAAAAATCTGATAGTGAC